CCGCTGCCTGCCAGCATCTACTCCGCCATCTCTGCTGCCCTGCTTCTCCTGACCGGCTAGGCCCTCTCATTGGGCCTCTGTGACCTCCCAGGTGTGCCAAGTTTGTAATCAGGGAGGGGTATAGTCTCTCCAGGACAATTCAACAATAAATACAATAAAAGCATGCAATAAAACAGGAATAAAACACTATACAATATTAAAATATTAACAATAATAAAACACAGCAACTCATGCGAGATAAAAATCGAGTTAACTTGTCCATTTCCACCCCGTGACAAACACAAACCCAAAATGGAGAATGTTTGTCTTGAAAGTAAAAGTCGTGGCTTACCATTTCACAAGGTGCAAGTTGATTCTTCTATGCAAACTACAGGAAACCGTGGCAATCTGCTAGCAAACAAAACAATTGCAAGGAGGTTTTTCTTTAGTGCAGCACCATATACGTCGTTGCAACTTGCAACAGTAACCGCTCCAGCAAACACTGTCAGGGAATACACATTTTTCCCTATAAACAAAGGTTACCAGGGGGTTTGCCTGTCTGTGTGAGTGGGGTCTAGGACACATCTTTTTTAAAAAAGACAAAATAAATGTAATAAGATTTTAAATTATGAGGAAAAACAAGTTTTTGGAATGTCTCGTATAGTGTTTGGTGACATTTTAAAGTAACAGTCTAGCATTTGGTAATTATGCTTATTCGGTTTCTTGCCAAAGATTATTAGGAATCCACAATGAAAGTGACATGAGTGTTGCATAAGCCCTACTGAAGCATTTGATCTGTTCAGTCCACACAAACTCCATCCTCAGACAGAGATGCCAAACAGATGTCTGTCAGCACAGAGGAGCTGAAAGGAGCAGCTGGTCTAAACAGAAGTTTACTGGATAAAGGCAGCTTTCATGTGGTCGCAGCAGGAAGGAATCATCGATACTTTTAGATACAGTGTGTTATTATGGTGCGTTATGTTCATCAAGTTCAGTAAATTTGTTTGGTTTAAACAGCTGTCTGTGGAGACATGCACCACAAAGTGTGCCTGAAAAAATTGACTTGAAGTGTGAAGCAAACAAACAAAAACATGGGGCACCACAGACGCATTCCTCAGAGTCTCTGCCGATGATACAGAGTCCTTCTTCTGATAGATTTGAAAGAATGAAAATCTGTTTAATTTCTGAGGTGGACAAGTAACCGACTGCAGAAAACTCTTTGTAATGTGAAGTGGCTTTCAAAATAGTGTTACCATTAAAAACCAGGAGGCTGTTATCATAGTTTAGCACAGACTGCAAATAAAGCCTGGTCCTAGGGTACCAGTGCGCCCACACTACTCTTAACTCCTCCAGTACCAGCAACTCTAAAGTTCACTAATTAGAGGATAGGTTATCTTGCTAAATGGTATCACAGGGGATGAATGCACAAGGATAATTCTTGTCGGAATCCAGCAACATCCTTTAAAGTTGACTTCAGAGGTTATCCACTGACCAGCAGAGACTCTAGGGAGTCACAGTTGTGACATTGTCCTTCATGTGGTTATGATACAAATAGGGTTTCTGCTCACAATACTCAACTGGAACTCTAACTTTGAATCCCAAACATTTTGTTTGACACATTTCTGTCTATTGAGTGTCTCAATTCATGCTGTGTTATTATCAGTTGATTAGAAGATGTACAGTTCCACGAAAAAGAACATTTTCACAGGATTCTGTGCAGTCCTGTGAAAAATAAAGTACACCTTTATTGCTTTCATACAAATTAAGAGGGAATGTAGCAGCTATGTGCTGATATTCAAATACACTGGCTTCGCTAGTCATCAGCAAGTGTGAAAACCTCTATAAAAGCTCAAGTTTTAAGAATCTTCTGACCTTCCGGTAAATTCACACCAAAGTCAGACCCTGCAATGCCACAAACAGAAGAATGACATCAGACTGGCGATCGTGGCTCAAGAGTTGGGAGTTCTCCTTGTAATCGGAAGGTTGCCGGTTCGAGCCCCGGCTCGGACAGTCTCGGTCGTTGTGTCCTTGGGCAAGACACTTCACCTGCCGCCTACTGGTGTTGGCCAGAGGGGCCGATGGCGCGATATGGCAGCCTCGCTTCTGTCAGTCTGCCCCAGGGCAGCTGTGGCTACAACTGTAGCTGCCTCCACCAGTGTGTGAATGTGAGAGTGAATGGGTGGATGACTGGACGTGTAAAGCGCTTTGGGGTCCCTAGGCGGGACTAGTAAAAGCGCTATACAAATAAAGGCCATTTACCATTTTACCATTAGACTCTGCAAGCCTCAGTTGGCCTTTTAAATGTTAAATTTCATGGAAGTACAGACAAAAAAACTTATTTGCCAGGACAAAGCTTAAAAAGAATATGAAGCACAACTTGGCTTTGTAAAATTGCATCTGAATAAACCACAAGACGTCTGAAACAATGTCCTTTAGACAGATGAGGTCAAAGTGGAAATGTTTGATAATATTTCACAGCTCTATATTTGGGGAAAGCCAAACGCAGCATATCAGCACAAACACCTCGTACGTGCTGTCAATCACTGTGGTGCAGGGGTGATGATTCAGTGCTTTCCTGTTTTTACTTTTTTTTCTTTGGCAGCCGCAGGACTTGGACACCTTCATTTGCAATCGCTAATGTCCACAAACCTCAATGAACTGAAACAATGTTATAGAGAAAAGTTGGCCCGACTTCCTCCACTAAAAAATGTGAGAGACTGATGTGTGATGACTCATAGATGAAATGATTACTTCAACTTAGAGCTGCTAAAGGTGCTTCTACAAGCTGCTGAATGATGAGATGCAAGCTTTTGCCTGTGGAAACTTTAGTTTGTACCAGCAATCTCACTGTGAGGTGGGAATACTGAAAAGGATAAACATCATTTTGAAACTATGAGCAAATATATCACCACAATTACTTCATGCTTATCATCTTTCATCATTTACTCTGAGTACAGCACTCTTATCACTCTTGTCTTTTCTTAGATCATTACCTATTCAGTAGTAGCCATAAAAATCCAACGGTCCCATCGGCAATAAGAACAGTTCGTTGATTAATTATTTTCTTGCTGTCATGGCTTCCGTTCAAATCCCACTTCATTTCCACCTTCATCCACCACTCTGTCTCTGTCTCCGTCTCCATCACCTCCAGTTCCACTCGTAGCTCTGGTGAGAGGAAGCCGGCCTTTCACAGGAGAAGGTATTAATACATCACATTCATCAGTTCATGTTTTGTTAAGCTTGCCCTGCTTTTTAGTGGCATGCTATGGCAAATTTATGCAGTTGTGCCCTTTGTGGACCTCCCGGCTTTTAATGTATGCTTGCTGAACTGCTGTTGCATTCTCTCCGTCCCTGCAGGCAACTGCTCTGAAAAATGCTGCTCTCTTTTCACCCCTGTTGGAGTTTGTATGAAATACTGTGGCAAATGGGTGGTGGTGGCACCGCTGTTTTGTATTGCATTGGTAATAACAAGCAGCCACACAGAAAGAGAGGAGTTTAGCTCCTCTCTTTCTGTAGGCTGAACCGCATTGGCTAGAGTTTTAGAACAGACGATTGTTTTTTATTTTATTTATTTATTTTGTGGGTTTAATAACTTCCTGTAGAGAATTATTCAAAACTCTAAAGCATCAGAAGACAGAAGACAGTGGGCTGCAGCAGTAAAAACAGAATGGAAGTTGTTCTCACTGCAAAATAGCTTTGTTGACTGTATGAAATGTTGCTCTTTGACCCAGAAGGAGGAGGGAGGAAGCAGTGGAAAAAAAAGAGTCAGCATCTTTCACTTGATCTTGATTATATGCAGAATAGATCTATTTCAGCTCTGCAGGGTGAGCCGAATGCTTACACTCCTACTCAGAAAGTCTGTTGGATATGAAAATGTTTGACAACAGTGTCTGAAAACGGTAAAAGGCTTCTTTAGTAAGACACATCTGAAGTGTGTCGTGGTTATTGTAGTTAATTAAACTGAAAAGTAAGCTAGGAGTGGAAAAACTTCTTCAGTTAAATAAAATAAAAATAAAACTAGGCTGTAAATAGTAATATATATGAAGTGATATTTTGCACTAATGACTAAAGGCTAATTAGTCATGTCAACTCTTTCTCCTGATTATTATCCTTTTAATAAGGTCATCAAAATGAGTTAAAGTAAGACTCAAACTAAAATGTGACATTTTTAATTAAAAACTTACTAAAAAAAATATCTAACTGGAAAATAAGTTTGTTCAGGAATGGTGTAGAGAGCTTCTTGACAGGTTCATGGTGTAGATTAGCGTTGTCAAACTCATTTTAGTCCATACAGTCCAATTCGATCTCAAATGGCAGGCACCGGTAAATGCCATTTCATATTAACCTATAGAAAAATATAAATGTTTTCCTCTTTCTTTTAATATAAAGAGATACAAACATATTCTGAAAATGTTAACAACTATTTACCGAGATGAAAGTGTCCTGTTCAAAAAGAAGGTGCAATTTGTCTGCTCTCATTAAAAACAAACACATCTGGACAGCTCCTTAGGCAAACCACCGCCTCGCTGTATTTATGAGTAACAAGGCTTTAAGACTGACAATGATTCACTCTCATTAGGTGATCCATTCGTACACTGAAAAGTACAAATATTAAGCCCTTCATCTCTGAAGTATTCACGGCTATCCAGTGGACTGGACCGGACCCTTTGTTGGGCTAGTTTGACTGAGTTTGACCAAAGTGCTCCACAAGTTAGTTAATGAACAAGAGAAAAAAAACAGAAAAATAAATACAGAAAATAAAACATGAAATGAAGTTAATACAATATATTTAACATAAACAAAAACCAATATCTATACCCACCGCTAGCACTAGTGTCTTCCACACTTGTGCTAGTTTTAATTAGATGCATAATCACAGAATCACAATCATGGGCGGACATCAGGGTTAAACATTACTTATATTTCTGACTTCAATATATATTAATGACTCCTTGGGCCACAGACTCTTTCTAAATTCCCTTAAACACACACCTGTAGTATTTCTGACCTCCAGATTCTCATCACTTGCTGGCTGACATGTATTTTAATACAGATATATCAATGCTTACTAGCTAATAATGGCCAATAATATCAGCCCTCCTCCATCTCTGTCAAGTTGTAATGAAGACAAGTCTGTTATTGTCACAGTCCACTGCTGTAACCATCTGGTCACATCTGTCACGTTCAAGAAGCCAGCGGCCACCCTAGCAGCAGCTCCAGCTGTGTTAATGGTGCCTTGGCTATTCTGCCAGTTTTTCATTTCTGGGAAACACCCTGGGTTCAAGTTGATTTCCTGTCTGCTACTGATATTACAACAACGCTGCAGCAGGAAATCAGCTTTAACCCATTTGCAATGTTTATGCTTCACAATGTAAAATACATCCACTCTGCCCAGTTATTTCAGAATAACGCCAGTGTTCTCAGATACGCCTGCAACTCTATCCTGCTCGTGTCCTCATCTGTGTGCTTCACTGCCACTCTGCCATACTCTCTTATCAATCTTCCCATCACTCTCCTAACCTCTTTCACCTCACTTTCTCTTAGTATGAGCATGTGCCCCCGCCCCCTCGCCATTGGCTACAGTGTGGAAGTTGTTTCCTCAGGTTTACTGCATTACTGTGTTTGTGATGTTTTCTTATTTGCCGAGGGCACATGTCCTTATTTGAACATGGCATATTTACATGTGGCTTGATTTGCATTAGCCGTTGTTGTGGGTGTTTTCGTGTGTATATGAATGCCCAACCCTTTCAGTCAGCAACCTTCTGCACCAAGGAGAGAGAGGGAGCTGAAATAGCTGCTAGTGTTTGAGCATGGAGGGCCCTGTGGCTCTGTAGAATAGTATGTAATAATACTGCCACCAAGGAGGCCTTAGTATGACAGATATAGCCATCTACATTCACAGCCCGGAGGATAGGTGAGTGCTGCTCCACTCTGGACACTTATAATCACCAAATCATGATTCTTTTACTCTGGTTTTAGTTAGTGAAGCTTGGATGAGTTGGACTGATGATTTGCTGGATAATGGAGTAGCATACAAACCCATGGGCTGGAGACGAGAGATTTACTGCTGGAGCTTTAACTATCATAGAGTCTGTCCTGAAGCGAATAGAGCTGCAGCCTCGTGGCATAGCTCATCCTGAAATGTAGCAGTAGTTTTCCTCTCCATAATCATTGGATTGGATTTTTCAAGGCCTCTTATTTCCAGTCATAGCTCGATGTAATTGGGTTTGTAAATCACAGCTGCAGAGCTCTCCATGCTGATGCTGATGTTGGGAGTCATTTGCAGCTGCTTCAGCTGTAAATCTGCTCCAGAGGCTAGTGATAACTCAGCTGGCTAAACACAGTGTAGGACCAGCTGTGTGTGTGTGTGTGTGTGTGTGTGTGTGTGTGTGTGTGTGTGTGAACAGGTACATCTTTGTGTGTTTGTGTTTGCCGCAGCGACAGTTGTGTACATTCAGAAAGCTGTGATTGTGATTGATGTGATTGTGTTCAATACAGTGTTCTTTTATTGAGGTCATCTTTGCTTTCTGTTTGTACACAGTTACAGCTTGGAGGGGCTCAGTGGAGGCCCTGAAGAGCTCAGGGGCCCCACCAGCCAGGGGCCCCGTATCCTAGAACCTATAAGGATTCCCCGGCAAGACAGCGATGACAGAGGCTCTTTGGTTTCTCTGACAGAGGAACAGGAGGACCGGGGGGAGTATAGCAGAGTGCATGACCCGGTGAGCTAATAAACACACGCACACATGAAGTTTGTTGACGTGATGCCACTTCTTTACACTGTCACACAGTCGGCCACCAAGAGATCCTGAAAAACCCACACAGCCTAATTCACGAGAGAAAAGAGTCGTTGTAAAGCTTGTACATAAACAAGACTTATAAGCAGTCAAGGGAAATCTGAGCCTTGTCAGTTTGGGGATTAGTGAGAATTAATAAACATGACTTTCTTCGTGCAGATTTATACTTCTCCCATTGAATTTAAAACAAATTGTAAACATAATGTCCCGATTTAAAATGCCGAGTTTCCTCTTTTAGTTCGTGTTCCTGTTTCCAGTTGACTGGCTGGCAATGCTTTGTTCCACATTATCGCTGCCTGGCTCACTCCATTTTTTTTTAACATTTTCATGCACTTGGTTTCATTCAGTCTCCTGTCTCTTGCTGCAGAAATCCAGACGATATCGGCCCCTGCGAAACAGCTGTCCTCCCATGAGTCTGCCCCTCACCAAGTCTGTATCTATGCTGGCCATCAGCCAGAGAGACATCGATGGTGAGTGACACGTTATGAGGCAGCTATCAAGTCCCTACTTGTAACATTCAGCCCTTTTCTTCACCTTTTTATCCTTTGGTTTTCTTTGTTATCCTCTTTAGGCTTTAACTTACTAAATTAAAGTACAGTGCAAAGTCCTCATTCTTCATTTCCTCGTTTTAACATCACCAGACTCAGCAGAGGGACACAATCTTTTCAGCTTGTAATTGGAAATTTAGAGTTCATTATGTTTTTCACTGTAAGCCCCATCGCAAAGAGAATAGAAAAAAAGGTCAAAAAGCTAGATAAAGAGAGAAAGTGGTAGTTTAACATGCAGATATTTAAACTGAATCGCTCTTATTACACGTTTCCCGTACATCTCCACTTCCTGCCCCCATCCTCACTATTATTAGGTTACTATATATTTCAATAAGTGATCAGTGCCTGTTGTGGTTCTTTCCTTCCTGCTCCCCAGCAGTGGGACACCTGAGACGTAAGAGGCGAATTTCCTTCTCTTTCAACCTTTCCCCCATCCTCACCAAATCTAAGTCTCAGTTCATTTATCGGGACTCCTCATCTAGTGATGATGAGGATGACTTCAGTAAGTACTGACATGTAAACTTAGCTGCAGTAGAAAATAGCTGTGATGTCAGAAGGAGAACAGTAGCTGCTCCGCTTAGCAACCTGGATCTGAGCTGCAAAGATGACAGCGATGCACCCAGATCAGCTAGCAGCTAGCCTGATACCCACACTGAAGTGTTTACTTGTGACTCAACATGAAGTGTGTGCGTGAAATGCTTCCTAGACTGAGTCAAACAGAGGAAGCAAAGTTGTCTGAAGGAAAATTTAAATTTTTACTCTTTAAACTTCATCAAAGATAAAGTCCAAACATTCATCCGCAACAATCTTGTCATGAAGAAGCTTCTAATTGCTGCTGATATTAATCTACTTGCAGTGTGAGAATGCAATTAGACAACGCTTGTAGCCAGATTGCTGCTGTAGAAAATCACCTTTCGCCTAGGCTGCATTGTGTTTAAATTATAATCCATGTTGACAGCAATAAATAAGACCTTGGCTTCTCGTGTTTCCTACGCAGCACAAGAATCGGATGACCTTTACATAAACTAGCCTTACTTCAGTCTTTTTGAAAAAACTGAAACACAATTACCAGAGAAAGAGGAAAATAATCATAAACACCGCAGGTGAACTGAGGAAGCCCTTTCTTCTCTGCAGATAAATACGAGCCTGTCACCTTTAGTCAAAGACACCGAGGCATTCCTTCCTTTTTCTTATCTGTGCAATATTTCCATTAGCACTGTTCTCTGTCTCCTTGTCTCTATTGCTAGGAACACAGGCAGGCCAAGATTTTGTCCTCATTATCCTGTTTTGGGTTTGACTTTCTTCTGCAGCGCATGCGAGCAGCGCTTTGCATATTTTCGTGTGCGTCTGGATATTGGTAGAAATCATTGTTTAGAGAGAAGCAGCTCGTTGCCTAGAAAAGATGCATGCCTTATGTTTAACTCTGTGCTTAACGTTTGGCACAGAGATTAATTGAAAAACACACATGTTCTGGCTGTTACTGCAGCCAGAAAATCCAGATTTTCAACAATAGAGTCTGGGAGGAGCTACAACCAGCATAGCTTTGTTCTAATAGGATGAGCAGACCAAGAAATATGAAATTTTGCCCGAGTCATCATCCATTGTCCAGCCTTCAATGCACGATAATTTTAAAACTCTATAATTTTAGTCTTTGACTGTATTACAGCCCCTCATTTATCCCCCTGTCTCAAAACAGAGCAGTTTAGAGCACAGAGCTACAGCAGGTGAGGACTGGCCAAAAAATAGCTTTTACACTTTCTGCTGATTGGCTGCCCCTTGCAGTTGTGTGGGGTTGTTGTGTTTATAGTTTCAGCTTTGTGCTTTAGTTGACCGTAATGGGGGGGAAAAAAATCACAATAGGTCACCTTTAAAGGAGATGGTAGAAAAGGAAGTGCTCGATATAGCTGTTGGCCTCTTTTAGTCATGTCAGTGGGTTGTCAGTTGTCACACAGCTGTACAAGGGTACCTAAAGTGTTGCATATTTACCTTTAGGGAGCCAAATCTGTAGCTTACTCTCAATTATAATCAGGAAAAATAAAAAAAGTGCGGTCAGCCCCTAAAGACATATATTTTTTTGTTTTTACTATCCTGCCACTCACTTCCTCTCCTTTTTTTTTTCCAGGTATGAGGTTTTCCAGCACCTCTGGGTCACTAGCATACAGGTCAGTCTAATCCTGCGCTTACATTTTACCAGTAAATTGTTCTTAAGGCTTTCATTGCTTGGAGGACCTTTTATAGTCCTATAAAGAGCTGTGTGCAGTAGTGGTCAAATGATTCTATAGGACCTTTATGGTGCTTCAAAGAACCATTTCACAATGTGTGAGCAGGTATGCTGTGTGAATGCAGCTGCTGGAGATGAAATTAAACCTGTTTGTGTGTTCCAGTATATCAGAGGAGGAGCCTGGGCCTCTGCGGAGTGACACTGAGGGAAAGAGTGTGACAAAAGTTAGCCGGACCTTCAGCTACCTCAAGAACAAGATGTACAAAAAGACCAGGGTGAGGGAACATGGAGTTTTTCTTCTTTTGACTACACTTCACTGTAGCCTGCTTCTTACAGTTTATTCAGTAGGCAACCACCTTCAGTGTTTTCTTACAAGTGTATCCCCTTTGAGCAATGAGCAGTTAATGCCCAACCACAGTTTTCAAGTATTCACACATGTATGAATCTTAAGCTTCTTTTTCTGTTGGTCCCTGACTAGCTTCAGTCTCACAGCAGGGCTGTTATAGGCAGTTCTGGGCTGAACAGTTATAGGTGTGGCACCTCAAGAACTACATATGTTTGTCCTCTTTTTCTTTTCTTTGTTTACACTACAACTCCCAATAGGTGCGTGGCGTGTTAAGCAGGCGGCGATTAGCATAGCAACAACTAAACTGCAACCATAACAATAAGTTGGAGCATACTGTGCGTTTGAGTTTCCTGATGGCAGATGCCTTGCATTCTGATTTAAGTTAAAATAACATAACATTACGAGTGGCTAAATGTCTTTTTATGTCAGGTGTATCACAGACTAACCTCAGGCAGAGCTCCCACTGTGGCTGATAATAGGATCCAGAATCCTTATTAAAGTCTGTTTACGTGTGGCAGCGTAAGCCAATGTTGGCATCAGAACTGAGTCATGCTTTGGTGTTTCAGATTGTTGTGCACCCCTTGTTTTGGGAACCGGGTGCAGGCAGGTCGTAAGATCATGTTGGTCTTTACCACCATTTCAAATATACATCAGTACAGGAGCTCAGAGATTCTCCGATTATACAATTGGAGATGCTGCAGGAGTTTGAAAAGATGACACCCTCCAGAGAAAACTGTGGGAAAAAACTCCAATTTCTTTGCTTCTACGCCTATAACAGTGCTCCTCAATCTCGGGTCCTCACTACTCTCTTGAATGCCTATTGTTCAAATCGCGATTGTACTTTTGTAGCTTTGCAGTTGGCATGCAAAACAACCAATGAGATGACCATAAACTAGGCTTAACAAATCCTTTCCATCTACTCTACAAACAAATGCATGGCTCTCTCCAAGGATAACATGCAGTAAACCAAACCAATTAAGCTTCACTTTGATGAATGTGTCATTTAGTATCCATTATTTTCTCCCTATGCTGGCTTCACCCTATGTGTAAAAGCTAGTTGAGAGGAAGTACTTTTGTTTTCCTTTAAGGAGGTGAGCGGAGTTTTTATTTCCTCTGTAGCACACAGGCTTAACAACGCCTGGTCTTCACTGCCAGCTCAACTGTTTGTGTTTTAGGTTTAAGAGCTAACTCATGGTTTTTCTGTCATTTCTATGTTAAGTTTACGTGTTCGTTGGTTTTTACAAATATGGCGTTCATCATGTTGCAATGCATGCTTGCATTCAGACCACACACTTATGTCAGTTAGAGGTTCCCCTTCTGCTGGAGGATCAACCGTAAAGTAGGAGCTAAAAAATGACAGACAAATGAGCTTCTGAGAACTTGCATGATGGTCCCTCATGCAACGCCACGCAAAAGACTTCCTTTAAAAAGTTGAATAGGCCCCTCTGGTTCAAAAGCTCCTTATATGTCCTGCTTTTGCCCAAGTCGTTGTTAGATGCAACTTCCCACTCAAATTTCCCAATCGCCTCACAGCAATGTCTTCTCAGAGAGATAAGCCTCTATGTAAGATGTGGTCAAAGCAGACTTTCTTTCTCCTGCCCTTCGTACTCCTAACTGATGTAACTGCAGTGTCTCCATTCCTGTCACAGGGTGACAATAATATCCTGTTAGTTTGTTGAAATATCGATCAGAATAAGTTACTTTAGTGAAACAATGGCTTCAGCACTATTATGACATGGAAATTATTGTACAGTACTGCATTTAAAAATCACAATGCTCAGCACTGCTCACTTTAAATTGCAGAAGTGGCATTTACTGTATTGCAGTAGCCGTTAATATGATTTAGGAATACAGTTGTCTGTATCAAGACTTTAAAACTCAACGGGGTAGCTGTGGGTGCTTAAAAGTAAAAATAATTGCATTCAATCTTCTCCCCAAAAAAGAGGCCTTGGAAGGTATTAAATAGTCTTACATTTAATTCACAGATTATAAGCAGTAATGTAATTATACAGCATTTTTATATCCAATATATCCAGTTGTGGGCTGTGTGGTAGGCCTTACACAGCTATAAACTGTGTGTGTGACAGTATATTGAACCAAAGGACACTCACACAGCACCAGGAAGTACAAAAGGCAAATTCACTAAAACCACAAATTAACATATTACCTTTTGATAGCTATTCTGATATGTAGTTTACTTCATGATCAAAATTGGTGTTAGATGCTACCTGAAATTATTAGAAAGAAAAGCTGGCTGTAATGATAGATATCCATGTTTCTGCTGCCAGTGATAACTGCTTTGATCACGAAGCGTGCATTTAAATTTGTACCATGTGGTGATTAAAGGGTCTGAAATGCCCTGAATTTAGCACAGAGTTTTTATTTCTGATTGGGAAGTGAAATGTCTGTTTGCTTCCTGTAAATATGCAGCCCTTGCAAAGAGACACTGAAGGGTGAACAGGAAGTAAAACAGGAAGATAGAGTTGGTGGTTTAATAATCTCCCCTCTAACCTCAGCCGTCACTTTGCTTTTAAAGCAACAGGATTCTGAAAAAGCTTCCCTCAGCCTGCAGCTCATTGCTCTCTGTCAGGGGTCAAAGTTATTGGCCACCGTTAAAGCTTTGATGTTCAAAATGGGTTTGCCTGGTGTCTATTGGCTCTCCTTGGAGCATTGAGATTAAATCTATAACTGTCAAATGTGTTGAAGAATTGGTAATCTCATTTTTATCCTGTCATTAATAAACCAGAACCAGTTTTAAGGAGGAGAATTTGTGTCTTCCTCTTTAGGTTAAACATTGAAAGTCTGACTGTTCTGGAAGGGGATCTAGTTTGTGCATTTTGTCACCATGTCTCTGTCAGACTGAAGGAAGGGCCATTGCAGAAATAGCACCTCCCGTAGCGAGCCAGTGACTTCCTCATTCACAGCCTTCCTAATGGAGACTTGCTGGTAGTAGCTTGAGCCACTGAGCCACAACCAGGGATGTTATACAGGAGTTTCCCAGGGAGCCGTGGCTTCTCACTGAGATGGAAAGGTTTGCTGGAGGTAGGCTAACACAGTGCTCTGGTTTCCCAGTTGAATTGTAGTGAAAGAGACTGTCACAATATCATGTTAAAAGGGGCTGGTGTTTTCCTCTGGGCTGATGTCTTTTTCCAGTGAAGTCATTGCCCGTTAACAGTGTGTTTTACTGGAATGTCTTTTTGTTTAAATCTCTGGTTTAGATGTCACTAGTGATTGCTTATCCTGTTGTGTATGCTTGCAGCCAAAACAAAGAGTACAGAGAATCATCTTTTTCAAATGCGTTGAACTGCTGGCGTTTTCTTGTTTTTGTTTTTTTTTGCCGGGCATCGATAGGCGTGATATCAAGCAAGCATTCTTGCTGCCATGAAGAATACTTTTTCGGGCCGTTTATTGTGGTTTAGTGCTGGTTAGACAGTTGTTGCAGGAAGTGAGAATGAAAGCTGTGTGTTGTACTGGCTCTGAAACATAGCGTGGGCCAGTCAGGCTTTTGGTATCTTGAAATGGCTGAACCAAATGAGCTCTAGTATGTCAGAGCTTTGTGGTCCCTTCAAACCAAGAGGCCCAGGGCTGGTCATTAAAATGAGCTGGAAAACTGCATTTTCCCATTTCCTCTGGGTTTGGGTGGAGGCTCTGTGATGTAAATCCAAGAGAATGAGAGCTCTGTTCTTCTCTGCATCACTTTATGGGATTGTGATTCAGCTCAGTGTACAGAGATGACCAGCTGCTGAGGACGATCTCATCCATTAATGCAGAGGCAGCAGAAAGCCCACCCTGTTATGGAAAGGTCATAGAAGTGATTCCCAGACAGTGCGTCTCCGTCACCAGTCATGCATCCTGCAGAAATGTCTCATTCTTCATAACAGGTTGTAGCATTCGAGTGTCTTGAGAAACCAAACGAATACATAATATGAGAATATGCTGCCCTTTTGGGATAAATGGTCATTGAAGATCTCTACCTCTGAGTCTTCTGTCTCACCTCAGAAAAAAGGATTTAATGTGTCTGAAATTTATTTAAAAGAGTTCCTTAATGAGACAATTTGTTGTCAGGATAAATAATGCATCACTTAATATGCAAACCCTCCCGCTGCGTCCTACATCCGAGTAATAATGTTGCTCTGCAGGGTTCAGATTGGAATTTAACAGAAGCGACTGGCCCAGTGTCAGTGTCTGGTATGTTAGTGGATGCTACACGTTACCACGCTTCACTTCGAAACTTCTAATTGGATGGCAAAGTTGAAGCAATTAGAGAAGTTCAAGGTTGGGTTGTCTTCTTAACTAATTAATTTCCATTTGTGCAGGAAAAGGAGCGAGACAAACGGGAGAAGGACAAGGAGGGCAAGGAGAAGGACAAGAAGACTGTGAACGGTCATGTTTTTACACCAGTCAGCTCAAACCACGCCACCCAGTGCTCCCAGTGCAATAAAGGTTTTAATGGCAAGGATGCTTTCCATTGCACATGTAAGTAACTTTCTTTTTTTTTCCTTTTTGTCTTGTTTGTTTTCTGCAGAGTTGCTGTAGCTTTAAATTATATTAAATCCTAATAACCTTTAATTATTTTATTAGAAGATTTTAATTTCTTATGTGAAAGCACACTAGGCTGCGAGTCGTTTCTGAAAGACGATGCTGAACATAAGGAGAGAAAGTGAAAAGATTTCACCAATAAATCCAGGAATATGCATGTTTGAATATGTTAGTTTATGTTTCTTCTCGTCTTTGTCTCTCAACAACCATTCATCCGATCCACTTCACACTTGTTATGTGTGTTACTGAGAACCTAAGTAAGAGCGGTGCTGAGTCTAAAGTGGTTTTGATTAGCAGTTCTCATAGTTTGGCTAAAAGCACAGACTGTATGTAAATGATGGCCCATGCGTCTATGAAATTACCCAGTAGTCTCTGGATTATGCATTTTGAGGCTTCATAGTTGGTACACGCTTGTTTTAAGAAGCCTGAGGTGACCATATTAGGATTAAAAGAGTCAAGTTGTCAGCTAACGCTAGCTATTTCGGTTAGCAAGCTGCATTCCCAAACAAACAGGCACAAATGGCTGCTAAGTTGGTGCTGAGGAGCAGAATTATACAGTGTAGAATTTCTCCTGCCAAAAATGTAGCACAGACTTCTTTGACGGCTGTACCACAAAGCAGACCGTGTTATTTGTCAGATAATTTTGTTAAGAACTGGCCTAGCAGACAGCTGCCAGCCAAAGCTGTACATGTCAGCGCACCTGTCAATTAAACCAACTTAATATACCAACTTGCCAATTTAAATTTGTTAATTTGAAAAATAAAATGAGGTGTTCACTTTGTAGCTGAAGTTGGGTTTTTTAAAATGAGTGTCTGTGTGGAGTGATTCTCGTTTAGCGGTAGCATCTGGGGTTGCTGCTTGGCTAAAAGTTGTTTTGTGTTACCAGCGTTGTTCCCCCTCAGCTGAATTCTACTGATATATTTCAGCTATAAGTTACATTAATTCAAGCAATTTGGTAATAAAAAAGGTAAACACCCGTATCACTGCTAAGTTAATGCAATGCAAGCTCAGTTTAATTATCTGGTTTACAGTAGTTTAGTGTTTTTATAGCAATCATGGTGACCGGCATGACTGAAGTTGACAGTGAGCAAATGGTTAAGAGGTTATTTGGCACCTTTTGCAGGTAGTTCTAAAGCAGGACCCTGGTTGAAAATTTTAAAACAAACATAAATGTATGGACGATTTCCTTGGTGGACTACAGCCTGCCTTATGTGTGATGGGACATGACACACATTTGTATACCATAGCAAGAAAATAGTGTTTCTATGTCAGTTAAATGACACCTTTAGCAGTGACACAGACGAGTGTTCAGTCATTGTTTTCAGAGCAGTAATGCTATGTTTATATCTGTTAACTTTCACAACAACTGATTTCCTGCATGTGATGCATTTAGGCAATATCTCTCAATTGTAGCTGATGAACAGGAACTGCATGAGTAGCAGAGGAGTCAGACCCTATAGTAGGTCAAGTCAGTTTACTGTAAAGGCTCTGTGTTTACATTTAGGCACTAAATGAAAAGATTTAATTTAAAGAAAAAGTAAATTAGAATTCCTTTATTTGATTATAAAGGACAGTGCAAGAAAACATGAAACACAAACTGAACTTTATATTAGCAGTTAGTTGTGCAGCTGCAGCAAAACTCCCCAAAGAGCTACTTCTAATGCAACCCAGTCAGACTTTGATTACAGACAACAGAACTGTTTTTTGCATTGTTTTTTACTGGAGCGACAGAGGCAGCCCTAAAGAGGTTTAAGTTTATTGCACAAGCCTTTGGCGCAAGCCCAGAAAAAGCCTAAAAAGGAGAAACAAGCTCTGCGATGGATCACAGCAGACCTCTTGGCCACAATCTGCCTCAGATGCTTCAGACTGGCAAAAACAACCCCTGTTGTATTCAGTCAGTCTGGTTCAGATTGTTAGAGCCACAGACAGTGTGAGGGAGGTTTGTACTCTGGCTAGTGTCCATTCAGCAGAGGAATACAGTGATCCTTTGTCTCAGATTAGCTGGTCTTATTTGGATGTCACCAAAAAGCAGTAAAAAACCTAATAAAATCCAGAGGCATGTAAAAAAAAAAAATATCACTGCAATAAATCAAGGTGCTTTGATAATCATGCAATCTTCTACTTGCTAATATTTTTACAGTGACACATTTTCAGGCGATAGCTCCCAGCCCTGACAGTGTTGCTGCCTTTGTGACTCGTGCAGCGCTATTTTCTCACCCAGACTAAAAGCGGCTGTTGAAGTAATCCCAGGAACGGAAATGTTGCACTGTATGCATTCTAACTTGGGTGACTAGGTCTGATAGTGCGTTTGTGGGTTTCACATGTGTGTTGAGTGGACTTGTGTCTCCTGGAAATATGCCCGTATAATTAAATCTTGATCAGCCACCATTTTTTTTCCTCCTTGATGTGAGCATTAAAATTAAAGAGCGAATATTAGGAAAAACTGAGAATTTGCGTTTAGTGGACAGATCAGCCTGTAGAAGAGGTCAAATGTCAGCAATCTAAAGCCATGACTTTGTTCTTAAATGGTGATTCGAGAATGTTTACATGATTTAAATTTTCCCATGCAATTCGGTGGTGACGTGCGTGTGTGTCATATCTGTTTTTTTCCCCCCATCGTCCACGAGCAGCATTACCCCTCGATTGCATCACATGCTTTGCTCCAGTCTGGCTTTCATTAGCAGGCTGGTGGAGTTTCCTGGCCGGCTATGAAAACCAGTCAGATTTTCTAGCCCCCACTTTTCCGCACACCCTCACATGCCCCACCACCACCACCATCAGGCTAACAGTATTCACTCCTTCTTTTCTTTCCAGACTGCAATGCTTCCGTCCACAAGGGCTGCAGAGACAGCCTGGCTGTTTGTGCCAAGGTGAAGATGAAGGTACAGCTTCCTCGCAGTTACTCCTCCGCCGATTCTGTAGTACTCTGCTGTCCCGAAGCCAATATCGATTTTCTTTTCATTTATGCTTTTTCTCACCGTTTCTCTGCTTAGTTGCCCAACCAGCAGTTTGCGGTACCAGATTCGAGCTTGTTTCCTACAGTAACGATGAGGAACAAACGTGAGTGTGAAACCAGCTCAAGTTGTCACAGCCAGTAATTATTTGCAGATTTATCGCCAAACTTCTCCGATCCCCTAATAAGAGGAGATTGAAGGGTTTTTGTGCACATTTATTTTGTACACACCGTGACAGAGTGCTTCTTTGGGGTTGTTCGTAGGACCAGAGCTCAAAGTGTTGCTCCTAGAAAATTCAGCCACACTCACACACACATACACATAAATATGATTTAAACAGATTTAAACTGTTAAATTAGTCAAAGGACAAAACCTTTTTCCTTTGAATAGAGAAGCTTTATGCTGTCCGCTTGCTCTGAAGTCTCCTAATAAATTATGTTTAAGAAGGTAGACAGTCTGTGAGGAGAGAAAAAGATGGATTGTATTTGCCAAAATACAGTCTTAAAACCATCGCTTTTACCTGTCAGTGATTTAGCTTAAAAGTCAGGATAAGTTAGGATCTCCTGCTGGTTTTGAAAAGTGTTCAGATTATTGTTGTAATCTAAGTTTGCTCTGGTTCAGCTGGTGGGACAAAGGAACGCCCCTGGTCGGCCATCTTGCCCCCTGAGGATCATTCCACCTTAATGATCCCATCACGGAGACACACCAACATCATGACTTTCACGGGAAACAACCTCTCCAAGAGTCTCTCAATAAGCAACATTGCTGGGTGAGCTGCTCTGTGTGTGTGTTGGAGTGAAATGTTTCTGTACTTAATCTAATTTCATTTTTAATAGTTTCGTTTGTAATGCATTATTTGACCCCTGTACAATGTGTTTAAACAGATATATGGGTAACTGTGTACGGCCTGTTACAAAGACAACATTAATAACGTGAATTTTATTATCGCGTCTCCATTCAGTCCGGTGTTTGACGAGATGCCCATTAAAGGTCTGCGGTATCTCTCTCAGTCCACCGACTCGCTCAACAGAACCAACCAGGTCACAGAATCCATGGAATCACTTACTGATGAAGGTTAATAAAGGCACACACACACAAATTCATTTTCCACGTTTTTTTAATTTAAGCTAGTTTAATGTGAACAAATAATTACTTTTTTAAAAATAAATAAATGATTAATGCATATACTGCACCGAACAGAAACTTAATGTGGTTTATCCAAACCTCTCATCTGTAGATTATCGTATAAATGGAAGTCAGTTTTATTAATTCAGGCTGTGTTGTTGACTCAGGAACAGAAATGATGGATGGGCAGCTGATGGGGGAGTTTGAGGCCGAGGCCAAAGAGCTGGAAGCAGACTCGTGGAGTTTAGGTGTGGATCAGCAACACCTGCAGCAGCTGGACAAAGAGCTGGTGAAGAGACAAGATGTCATCTACGGTAATCACCGCATATAATACTCACTGCAGTAACTTTGATTAAACGTAATTTAATCTGAAGGTGGTAACTGGCAAAGCAAGGAAAGGTAATAGTTTATTAAATGGAGTAACAACGTTTTTAATCAAGCTCATTCTTGGCCTGGTTTCCTACATTTCTGTGTGTCAGCTAGCAAGGAAGCATCTAGTAAAAGTGGACCAATGTTATTTAAAGTAGACAAAAACTCGAGAAAGGAGGTAATGCCTTTAAGCCCAGGATTAACAGTGTTAGATAAAATAAAAATGTCACTGCTGTTTCATCTGTGTCATTGTTATTTTCATGCCTGATGGACTTTGTTTAAGGATGAACCTACAGTATTTTAATTGGGCCCCACTTAAGGACTTTCTCCTGAATTTCTTCAGTTGTATCTACCAGGCTCTGTGATCTAGTATGGCTTTTTTTTACCTGATTGAAATGTGCAGTGAGATACTCTTAATGCGCCTGAGCTGATTTGAATCTATTTGTAGTCAAATTTTCTTCGTAGCTATGCAGTGACCCCTACCACTGTAGTTGCAGATCAGTTGCAAAGTTATGAACTCTATAAAACTCTGTGCACCTCTGATACGGGGAGGGTATAGATGTATTTGAATAGCAGGTGGTGTATGCTGGTGGCTGTCATTTCAGCTTATTGTGCACCTCCAATTTTGGGTACCTGCTGGAGGCATGAGTCTCTGCAGGCATCTTATGATACATGAGTGCAGGGATTCCCAGATGGCACAGATTGCTGCAGCAGTTTGAAAATATGAGAAAGTCTGCAGAAAACTTTGGAAAAACCTCCATAACCACTTTGTTAGCGACTACTTCTTTTCCTGTTCCACCAGTGAAGCTGTTCTCTTTCTGAGCTGTGAAACCTGTTATTTAGGAGAATCATGCAGGGAATCACATACAAGTGGAAATGGCGATGGTGCGATGCTGATGTTATATGTCAGTGACTATAAAGGAGGCTTAAGTGTCATTTCCCTTCATGTCCTGCAGAACTGATGCAGACAGAGATGCATCACGTTCGGACGCTGCGCATCATGTCAGAAGTGTACAGCAAAGGCCTGCAGAAGGAGGTTCAGCTGGAGCAGCAGATGTTGGAGAAGCTCTTCCCCGTTCTAGATGATCTACTTGAGCTCCACACACAGCACCTCCTGCGCCTCCTGGAGAGGAAAAAGGAGAGCCAATTAGAGGGAAGAGTCTTTGAAGGAGGCTTCATCATCAGCAGGATAGGGGACATCCTGGGTAGCCAGGTGAGAGGGGGGAGGGGCTGGTTCAAAATTCATTTCTATTCTTTACAGCTGATTTAACACAAGCTGGTTTTACAGAAAACCTAAAAGGTAACATGACTGTTTATTTTACAGAAACGAGATGTTTTTTCTGAAAGGTTATCGACAGAATGGATGTGTTTTCACGGCTGTTATGAAAGGCCTAATGTTGATTTTTCTGTTCTCGTCTAAGTTTACACCTCCAAAGTAAATTTACACAATCTCTGAGTCAAATATTGCTCCCACAAATCCCAAACATTTGTCTCAGCTCACGTTTGAAGTTCTGAAACTTTGAAAATAATGTTAGCTTTTTAACCTTTATTTCTGCTCTACCAACGTTTTTGTGTGCTTACATCTGTCAAATCCTTCTCTAGTTTTCGGGATCAAATGGTGAAAGCATGAAGAGGGTTTACGGAAGATTCTGCAGTCGCCACAACGAAGCTGTTAACTTCCACAAGGACCTCCTAAACAAAGACAAACGCTTCAAAGCGTTCATCAAAGTAAGCGTCAGGCTTCTCTCGCGGATTTATCAAGTGTCTGTCACACAGCAGACGAACTTTCCGGAGAAGTCTCTTTTCATGCTTTTTGATGAAAACACATTTTTCTTCAGGACGTCTGGCTTTCCAGACACGATTGTGTTTGTTGAATAGAGTTCTGACATTGTTTTCTCTTGTATGGAAGTGCTTGAAGTAGTGTTGAACAAAGAGCTCGTTCTTATTCTGTGTTGCTTTCCTTTTAGTTGTATTATTTTGCATCTGCAGTTCATTTCAATCAGGGCATGTGCTGGAGACATTTGAATAAAAGCTCTATTACCCTCGAGGCAGTTTATTTTTATTATAGAAACGCCAGTGCTCGCCATCATAAACAATAACAATAAACACCCTCTCAAGTACTACTGCTGTATTGTTCTATGCCAAATGAGTTTTGCAGCTTCTCGCTGGTTATGTGAGACCCTGCCACCTGTTGTGTGTGGGCATGTTTTACTAAAAGCACCTCTCGTTTATTCTTTCAGAAAAAGATGAGTAGCAGCATTGTGCGGAGGCTTGGCATCCCAGAATGCATCCTTCTTGTGACCCAGAGGATAACGAAGTACCCCGTGCTGATTCAGAGACTGCTGCAGCACACTAAAGGTTATTTTCACGTTGGCCTTTTTTTCACTGTTTTTACTTTGTCTATAAAACTGGTAGAAACAAAAGCACGAACTTGGTTCTAATTTTTCAGATGCTGGATTACTACAGATTGCTGCTGCAGGCTAAATATAATGAATTTCTTATTAATCGATATATTTATTACACATTTTCAATAAACTAACAAGCAAAGCAACTTCAAGAAACTAACAAAGACAAACCAACCAAACAACCAGAAGGTTTCCTAATCGAGTATCACTTTGTAAGTTTGTTGCTAGCGAACATTCCAGGTTGCAGTTGCCCGAATAAGGCCGTAATACCACCAAAATATGCAAATTCTCATGACCATTGATCAACAACCACTGATCAAAGGAGGCCATTTTTGTGAAAAGGGAAAGACCATGTCTGAATCGAGGAGGGGGGCTAAGGGTACATCTGTCACCATCTCACAATGCTGTGATTGCAGCCTTTCCCCAACTCTCTGTGAATGGTACTCATGGCCATGGCCTGTTGATCAATGGTCATGAGAATTTGCATGTTAATGATCCAAGAACTGGCCTCCCAGCCCATTGTTCCTTCAGTGGGCTGGTTTCAGTCGTTATGCAAATGTACTGTTCATAAGATTGGGGGAAACCTGCAGTCAGGTCACTTGGATGAGTGACGAAACGTTTCTTCCACTGAAAACGTTACGTCCAGATGAACAGAATCAACTTTTGGGGATTTACTTACCTGCATGATTGAGTATGCATCAAGGCCCTAATGTATTTACTACCCTTAAATATGTTGATGGTAGCTGCTTCAGTCGGTCGACCTGGTTATTTTCATTGTCGCTTATAAAGTCTGTGGTCTGGTCACCGCGTTCCTACAAGTTTACTTCCTATGTGGATGCTGCTTAAATCTTAATTCCAAATTTCACTAAGTTTCACTTAGTGCAGAAAAAAATGTGTGAATTTAAAGTTTAAGCAATATAATTAAGTCATTTTTCCCATTTCAGTTTTGGCTTTTTTAATTTTAGAACTTTTCACAAACCAATTACAATATTTTCTTTACATCCTTCTCTATGATTTATATATTTATTTAGAGAGTTTATCTACAGTGATATTTATCACATCACCTTTATCCTGAGAATAGAAAATAAACTCCTGGAGTACCTCATTATTAATATTTTTCCTGACAGCATTCGGCTCCGCTCGTACACCGAAAAGCCGCCCACAGCAGTGTGCCGTTTGTTTTAGGAAACATCCTGAAAAGTACAATTTCTCGCACACAGTTTCATATATTTTGAGAAGAATGAGACATGTGCTGGATGGATGTTTATAGGATAATAGATCAAGCACACTCTGAGGAGCTGGAATATTTCACACCATATTTATATCTGATTTAAAGCAGCTCTCATCAGCTGGCCTCCCACTGTGTGCATTCTCTCTAATCCCTCCCCAAAGCCTGTTTATAGTTCTATGTGGGATGGGGGAGCTCTGCCTTAATCCCCAAGGTGCTTTAAGAAGAGTCTCTCCTGCCAACTCTGATATGTACTGAGAGGAAATAACACAGTAGAGTCACAGTTTGAGATTATATTTTCTTGCTTTGGAGCACAGACGTACAACGCAGGAGGAAAAGATTCCACTTTAGGGAAGGATGTTGCATGCTGAGCCCAAAACTCAAGAGTGTTATATAGAGTACAACAAGTGTGCATGCGGGACAGTTTGACTGGGGTTTTCCTTACTTTGCAGACTTAAAGGGCACTCGTGACTTTACTGTAATCCTTAGAGTACCCCAGCGGAGACTCCATGTTTCCTGACTCACGGCAGACCCTGATATTTTACTCCTTTGTTGTTATACTTTAAAAAACAAAATCCCAGTACTTTTCTATAAATAAATGTTAAGCTTGAGTCACTTGACAGTGACTCAGCCGCTGTCAAGTTAATCAAGGCTTTTATGTGCGCACTTTATTTAGATAACCAGATGGCTTTTGCAGCTACGCTGATTAAAAATGTATTTCATTAGAAATAATTCCATCCTCGTTCTCTTTCCTGCTGAGCATAAGCTGAAACTGATATGTATTGGGTGTGTGTCCACTGCATGAGTCTATCGCCAGCAGCTAGTTAGCAGATAATGCAAAGGAAGCGGTATCGGTCTTCTTGTCCAATTTGCTGCAAAGAAAATAAGTTAAATATTCGGATTTATAGAGTAAGGAGCATAGGAGCATTTTGTAAAAGAGAAAATGTAATATACACATACAGTGGGTGCTCTTACGGCTTGAGTCCCCTTAGAGTAGAGGGTCTATTTCAGCCCACAGGTTGGCTTTGCGAAGTCATCAATTACTACGGTTTGTGATTTGTGGTGTGCACATGAAGGCATAAGTACAGGGGAATGAAAAAGTCTAGACAGCTAAAAGGTTTTTCTAGGTCTAAACAAGTTATTCTGTCTGTCCGTCCTTCCATCCAACCATTTTCTTCCACATCAGGGGTGACGGACAACCATTCGCATTCACACCTATGGCCAATTCAGACTCACCAGTTACCGTAACTCCATGTGTTTGGACTGTGGAAGGAAGCCAAGTGTGTGGAAAAACCCACATGGGGAGAACATGCAAAATCCATACAGAACGACATATTTATTTTAATCATCGAGTAAAACACTATTGTTTCTTAATCACAAAAATCTATACATTTTGTGCTTTTCAGGCACAATCTCTAAATTCTTCAAAATAATCCAAAATTATCAAAACATCAAACGGCAAAATAGGGAATGAAGGTATTCTGGCTCCAAGTATTGCTCGAACGTCTTACTAAGAAACTTAATGATCATTTTAATTTGCTATATACATACTGTAAATGAAGGTTTTTCATTAGACATGTACAAGAATTAAAAACAAATTGTAAGATGTCTTAGATGTCTCTATAATAATATGTGTGACTCACTGTGACCAGCTAATAGCATAAAAAAGCTTTCAGTACTCTCTTCCAGTGAGTGTAAATGTAGCCACGGTTAAAATACTGAAATGAGAAGTAAAATGTCACTTCATCGTCTGCCGCACTTACACGCCACCTGTCTGAGGCGTTCAGGGTTAAGTGTGTTAGATTGGAGTCATTAAACTACCAAATGTAACGGTGCTCCATTTTTGCTTCAGCTGGTTTGAAATCACATTCCTATGGTAATGTCTTGTAGAATAAATTTTCTAAAATCTTGTCACACGTCTAACACAGAGAGCGACGAAGACTACTTTGACCTGACGGAGGCTATTCGACTCGTGAAGGAGGTGATAGCGGCGGTTGATAGCAAGGTGAACGAACACGAGAAAAGACGGCGCCTGAAGGAATTTCACGGCCGTATGGACAACAAGTCGATTATGATGATGAAGAACGGGCAAATTTTCGCCAGGGAGGATCTGCTTAGGAGGCGGCTGATCCACGATGGAGCGCTGCAGCTGAAAAACACCCAGGGAAGATTAAAGGGTGAGGAGTTGGGGATGGGAAATTTGTTTGTCTTTTTAGGGGCTAAAATTTTGATGTATTTAAACGAATCCAACAACAACTGATTTTCTTCTGGTCGTCTTCCAGAGGTTCATGCTCTGCTCCTATCAGACGTCTTCGTCTTCCTCCAAGAGAAAGACCAGAAATATGTCTTTGCCATGCTGGTAGGTCATCTCTTTCCCTCTCCTTTGCCCTACAGTTATGAAGAACTCATGAGGGCTGCCAGAGTTGATGCTGTCATATTTTCCTCTCCCACTGTTGTTGCTGTTAGCAGGAGCTGCCCTTCTTAGCTATCCCATTGTGAAATAATGCCTGCCTCTTGCTAGCACGCTAGCTGCACCTAATAAAGCTTATCTGGCCCTGGGCTCCTTAACCCAGCTGTGATAAATCATATAGGTTTGAGTTGTTTTTTCCATGTTTACAGGACTCACAGCTTCATGGCATGCCACACTCTCTCTCCCTCTCCCTCTCTCACACTCGCAGGAATGGAAACAGAGCCAGGCTGGTGGCTTAATAATCACATCCATCAGTAAAAAAAGAAAAAAAAGAAAAAAAAGCCTGCAATGTTTGAGTTGGAGCTGTTGACATTAGAAAGGGGAATAACATGTGGTTTGAAATGGATGGCAGCCATGTGGAGAGGGTTTGTTTTTGAGAGTATAGGCATCAGTTCTGTGGATCAACAAGAGTACATGCAGCTACTGTAGCAGGTCGTAGATCATCACCACCTTTACAGGAACACAGACCTGTAGAGCTAAAAGAGAATGGATGATAGGAAATAAACAAAAAGATGAGGAGAATATTATAGATTTGGCTCCATATTTTTGTGTTACATATATTCAAATTGCTGTTACTTACATGGGCATGTGCTTAAGACAGGGGAGTATTGCCTTGCCTCTGTCAAAGGCCTGAACAACTCAAAGCTGAGAGGTTTGACAAAAGCATAAAACAAGAAGGAAAAGCAAAAGATCTTTCGTCATATTTGCTTTAACTGTACAGCACAACTTTCCGCTGTGACAATGGCTCCAAAATTTGCCTGCTTTTACTTCATTACTCTGAGGCTGGCCTCAAAAGATGCTCTCTTCTGTCCGTGGCTCCATATCTTTGCTGGAATGACGATTCAAACATCAAAATGACAGCAGAAATGATCTACTTTGAAAGCAGAAATTGTCTCTTAGGAAATTGTTACACACTCAGTAAATACACCTCAGCTTTCTATTTTGTTGCATTCAGTGCTCTTAGCTTGCTGGCGCAGAGATGTGGTGGCCATGCTCTATTCTATTTAGTGTGATGTGTGCATCATCACCACAGCTTGAAGCTGGGAGCCCAAAAATGAACAAAGCTAAAGTGCTTTTTTTCTCATGGGTTGATGGGAAAAAAAGTTACATAAACTGCACAGGAATGGTAGCC